ATGACTGCTATAGCTGAACCCAGGACACAAGATCACAGTAATAAACCAACGACAGATAGAACTTTGGGGAACTTGTTTCCAGTCATCTCCTTCACCTCTAAGGCACTATAACAGATGTATCAGACTACAGACTATGCTGAGTTAAATGTTATCGTCTCACCTGCTCACAACTGCTCTTTTTAAAGGTGCCTTACAACAAAAGAACTTATATGATTTGTAAAAAACATACTATATAAATCTCATTGATATATATTAACAAAACCTGATGTGTTAAAAAAGACATAATCCCAAAATTCATAGTTTGGACTCTCAACAACAGAATATATCATTTAATTCTTAACCCGAGTTGCCTGAGTACTGGTTTAGAACACCAAGATACAAAATAGGTCATGATGACCTTTGTAATCAGCATGTAAAGTACAATTAGAAAGTCAAGACTGTTCTTATTTCAGTTCCGGCAAGATGTTCGGCATATTGAGCATATTACAATATCATAAAAACATACTCAGCAAGTTTAACTTACCCAGAAGTATCAACTCGGGTGTGGTCTGTTAGCTCCAGGTTTTTATGGAAATCTGTAGTATTTCTACTAATCTTCTCTAAGTCTCTGATAGAGGAAGTTACATCTTTAGAAGTTAAGCGGTAATGTTTTTCAGGACCTGAAATATTTTAGGTCATTTCAGGAACAAATATAACATAAAAAAAAAAACAAAAAAAAAAAAAAAAAAAACAACCCAACCAAACAAAAAACCACACACCACAAAACACAAAAGCAGTATCTACTTTATGAATTTTAGAGAATTTCACAGTATCAAAAATTTGCCATTAAAAGTCTCAACACAACTGTAGCTGATGAACAATGTCACCACAAGTCCTAAAATAAATTATGACTTTTTATTATATGGTTCTTGAACCATTTGAAGTACTGGAGTCTGCTTCCAAGATGTTTATGCCAATAAAATATGAAACCTTATATACAGGGCCCACGAATACCTGTGCGACCTCAAAATGCAGAACTCGGGTAGCTGACTCATGGTAGTACATACAAATTTAAAACACAGTAACAGGATATATCCCACATCCACCAATACAAAAAGGTGATCAACTGGGTCAGAGTCTATGCTTCTCGTACAACACACATGCAAGTATATTACTATTTTCCCAGCTAGCCATAAGTCTCTGCTATGGATTTATAAGTAAGTGAATAGTATTCCAAGAAAGTGGAACAAAAAAAGAAAGAAAGAATGTGACAGTTCAACAATAACTTCCTTCCCTATTCTCCTCTGAACATACTCAGCATGGACGCTCATTCTTCAAATATTAACAAGAAAAACTTCCAAAAACACCTGGGTTCTGATGAGTAGGTATCAAAAAAGGAAGGACAGCTGTCCTGAAATATGGTATTTGGAAGCCTCATAAGAGCTACGGGAAAAATGCAGCAAAAGCTAAGGTAAAAACATTTTAAAAGGTAGAACACACACTCTGGAATCCCAACTACTTTTGTTCAATGAAGATGCATCATAGCCAGGACCTGCCAATATAAAAGCACCATTGCAACTGAGAAGGGAAGGACCACATTACAGCCTATCAAGGCTGCTTATCGCACAAAGTATCTTGGATACTTGATGTTGAGATGGAACAAAAGCATCCCACTTCTGTTTGTTTTCTCTTTTCTCCTGTATTCAAAAAACAAAACCAGGACTCACATTCTGTTCAATCATAATGAGCTCACCCTTGTCTGCGTGCTGACTCCCCCACCCTTGAAAAGCAAGGAGACGAGTTTAAAAAGATCGAGGAAAGGGGGTTAAGTCAACCCCAAGAAAAGAGGTAATACCATGTCTACTGTGTCTTATTAGTGACAGTTCTCAGCAGGACAGATTTATAAAGTTTCCTGTCCACCTTTTCCCCTTCTTTCTACCCTTTCATCAAATTGCATCTAGCTTCTAACACCACCTGGGGTGCTCATTATTAAATATCCAAGGAAAGGACACCTATTTAAAAGAAATTCGTGATCTGAAGTAGTACCTAGTGCATCCTGAAGATTTCTGCAACAAAAATGCAAGGGATAAAAACTAAAGAAAGTTGTGTGAAAAGGTTTGTTTTCTCTAAATTACAGGTAGGTTAAAGTATGATTAAATGGAAATAGATCACTGTTCAACCACAGAAGTCCCGCATCTCCAAGTAGTTTAGTAGATTTTTCCACCAAAATCAGTTAAATCTAAGAAGGCAAATGAAATAGCTTCTTGTTTTCATGATGTTTCTTGTAAGAATGCAGGACTGCCACTTACCTGTATAACTTTGTAATTCTTTTTCCAGAGTACGTAGGGCTACTTGGTCAGCATCATACTCCCAAAGATAATCATCTTGTTTAGTCACATCATTGCACTTATTTTTTGGTATCTCAGTATTAACTCTTAAGGTATGCGCAGGTGAACTCTTTGGTTTTGGTTGAGTGCTTGTTGGACAATTTCCAGTCAGTTTACAGTATGGCATATTTGTTGACCAAGGTCCTCTAGAATCATTCCCTGAAATAACATGAAAGGTCACAATTCCCAATAATTCAAGATTTCACGCAGAAATTTTATCTCAGCTCATTAATAACATTAACAGTAGTTAAAATTATAGAATCATTGAATGGTTTGGGCTGGAAGGGACCTTAAAAATCATCTGGTTCCAACCTCACTGCCATGGACAGGGACTCCTTCCACTAGACCAGGTTGCTCAAAGCCCCGTCCAACCTGGCTTTCAATTGATCTGAAGAGAATATTCATTTTGCTTAAGATTATGAATTAATATTTCTTAATAATAAGATTAAATTTATATTAGGAAGTAGCCTCTCATACTTCAGGGGTATCTTTCAGAGAAAAATATTTTTAAATATTAAGTACAATAGCACAAATTGTGTAGAAAGCTTAAAACTTTAGTTCTTTCTTCTTTTAACTTAAGGTAACATGAATAAAATATAGACAATCTCAAATATTTTTCTGGGATTCAAAATTGACAGTTTCAATTTCCACACGTAACGTTTTTAAAATTAAAATGCCAAACTGGTTGCTTAAGATTAAAGAAATAATGTAAGCTACGTTCCTTGAGATACAGTTTAAATTGAGAAAAGTAACTAAAAAGTACAGTTATGCCTTAACTTGTTTCCTTTTTAGTTCATGTAGTAAGACTTATTTCAATAGTATGAAGAAATCTTATTAGATCAAAACCACATTGTTGCAGAACACATAGTAATACATAACCTTGTTCTAGACAGTTTATTGCCTAAATATTCAAGCTAAGAGCAGAGTAATGGCGTAAAGACAGGAGTAGAAATTAAGCACAATAAAAAGTACTACTAGTGACAGCTGGAAAGAGATAATTCTTAACATAAAACCCCATCTTTACAAAAACAATACCATGCATAGAAGTCGTTATATCTGAAATAAAAATACATAGATGATTCTGTTGAATTTAGGTTATTTTTACATCTTCATCACAGACAGTGCTTCTACTTTTTACTAAGAAAAAATAACTTCTTTAAGTAGGACTTAAAAGCTGTTGCTATCCTTACCTGGGAAGGACTGCCACACTGCCATCAGGGTTGAGATTCTATTTTGAGCCTCCAAACCACTTGAAGGTCTATTCAACTGACTTTCTAAGACACCTTGAACTACAGAGTCATCAGCATATTCACTTAAGCTCCTTTCAATAAACCACTTTCCATCTCCTGAAATTAAGAAGTATTAGAGGAAATTATGTGCAGATTTTGTGTTAATACGAGTTTACTGTTACTGTATTTGTTGCATTTAATGTGTGTGATTTAACGAAGTGATGCAACAAATTTCTACATATAATATATAAAAAGAAAAAAGTCACATATAAAACACTAACAAGCTTAAATTCAAGTGATGTACTTGATCAAATTAATATTCATGTGCACCTATCATTTCACATAGTTTCATATACACAACTAAAAAGCAATAGGTACCTACTGGAATAAAAGTCTGAGGCAATATAAAGAAGCATTTAACTCTATGGTACTACACTGATGTAATTTACCTCAAGGTAGTAAGTTTATTTCACCATTCCAGAGCACCAGTTGTGTGTGTTCACATGGCTGCTACCCCAAAGTGACTTCTACAAGTAAGCTAGCTAGATCAAAGTTACATGAAGAATGTCTAAGAGCAACAGTGATAAACGTGTACCATTTGAGAATTTTATTTATATGCCTTTACCTGGAAATGAGATACTACAGTCCATAGGGATAGAGTCAGTACACAATGAAGAACATGCTTCAAGCATTACTCGTTTAGGGTTTACACCTACAAAGAAACCTTCAAGTCCCCAGTACCATGTAGAAACAGAGTTCTGTCTTTTGGCTATATCCTGTAACTTGAATAAAACACAAAGACATTAGAAACAGGAAACTTGAAAAGTTGTCCTTGCTCATTTCATAAATCTTCAAATTATTCTGACAGCCTGATTAATAGTTATTCGTAAGGACGACGGTTTTGCACGATATATGCTTTAAAATCCTATATACTTTGATTGCTAATGTTGTGAGAGTTTGAGTCTATTTTTCCACTGTGGAAATGAAAAGCAATTTTTTATTGTTTGCTTTCACTTACTTTTGTGCACATCAACTAAAGTAATAGTATTTAACAATAACTCCAAATCTAGTGTCCCAACCTTCTCTATGCTGAAAATAAAATTGAAAGCAAAATATCAAAAGAATATGTGAATAATTTAGGTTAGATAAGAGTATCTACAATTTTTGGCATTCAATCGAGAGGTGAAGCAACCTTGATACAATATGGGAAGAGCTGCCTTCTCCCCCAGAGCACTTTTTTGGTTTAGTCTGTTCTTACTTGTGCTTTTTTGGAACATCAGCAGAAGATTGACAATACACAGTGGAAAGTAGAGAGGCCTTCATTCCCTTTATAGGAAGTATGGTTGGCAGTGACAAACCTCTGATTAAAACTGTAAGCTTGATTGCTTCGGGGTTGGGTTTCTGAAGGAGAATTGGGAAAAGTGGTAGAGTATTTCATGGTAACCATACAACTATCACTTACTATCTCCCAGCTGATTCGGGAACATGAAACGTTGCCTCATGCTTAATTGGGAAAGTAGTTTAAGTAAAATAATTATATATTTAGCAATCAAAGATATAATATATTACCGATGAAGACTTTGTAATTACAGGCAAAACCAAACTCTGACTATTGCAGACACTGTCCAGTTCTTGGGAATCTTTATGGTTTTTCTGCAGTTGTGTCTCAAGGAGATACTTGTTGCTCATTAGTTCAGTTGGGTTAGAGATCTTCTCAGGTAGCTCAGAGGAGGTAAGTGATCTTCTCATAATCTTTACCTTAATACTCTCCTTTTGGACTACATTTCTTTCAAGACGACTGCAGATAACCATTTTTTCTACAAAAGCCCAACACAATAATCAAAATAGGATTATTTTTTAATTGAAATTAATATGAACTCTAACCTGCGAGTCTGCTATATTTTCTTCATGAACTTAAAATATGAAACCTCCACTGAAGTTACCCCTAAGCCATAAAATTACAAACAAGAACAGTCAGCTTCCATTAGCTTCCTGCCTGATATCCAGAGATGCCAACATACACAGGCAAGATTTACCAGGTAGCAGTACCAGTTCTGTATGTTCCTGTACATCACTGTCTGGGAAAACATTTGATCTCAATAATAACCTTAACACATTTCCAACTACTACTTCATGCTAATGTAATTTATTACATTTAGAATGCTGTAATCTAACCAAAGCCAGTGTTTGAACTACAACAGTAGCATCTTAATAACATTTCTTTATGTGTATATGTAATGGTTTGAAACACATACTATCAGGCTGTGAATGATTTTGCAAGTTCTTTTTCTTTGTTTAAAGAAGACATAGCCACTTTAATTTTTATCCTGTGCCCAAAGAAACACATAAATCACATTTCATTAGTCAGCCCTTGTTTTCTTTTTCATATTTGAAAACTTAAATATTCAGTTTTTTGAACTGAGCAGAAAGAGAACAAGTTCTAGGTCCTGAAGTGCTGGAGTAATTGCTTGGTACTTGCAAGAACAAGAAATGAATTACTTACCATTACATCCTAACATTTCTTAGTATTAAAAAACATACAATAAATTTCACATAGGGTAAGAACTTTGGGAACCCTTCAGAGTGCCAAAAATAAAGCTGCCAAACTTTCATGGTGATTTCACTGACATGCAACAACACTGGAATACTTATACACAAATGATCATTTTTCATGCAAAACAAGTAATCATTTATACCGTTTCTCAACTTATCTATATAAAAGCATTTTTCTACATAAAAAGAACACATGACATACCTTAGATCTAATACAGTACGTACATACTGGTTTGTAAAATCACTTCATCTGCTTTACAATGGGTTTCTTTTCAGTATAACGACTCATATTGGGTCAGTCTCTCCCTCAAATACGAGCTTACACCTGTGAGGTTACTGTCACAGTGGATGCCTATCCTTTCGAAATAGGTTGCACATCCCCGCAAATTGTGGTCAAGGGACCTGCATAGCTCAGGGGACGGTACATAATTTCATGACTTTTTTTTTTTCCCTCTGGACAACCATGATAGTTGATGACAACATCCTATAGAAGAATGATGAAATTGTATACGCTTATGTATATTGTACAAATACTTTCAGAATTTACCTTGAGAAATTTCTTTAGAAGAAACAGGATTTCTGTCAAGAGGAAAAGGGAAAAAATATTGTATGTCATCTGAAGAAGTTAAATGGCAAGATAACTATCTCATTATGCCTACAGTTTCTCTTGGCAAAAGGTCTGGTACGTAATGTGTCATTCTGATTTGCAACTGCTTAACAACTTTGAGACAGGTGAACCACTTTGAGACAGGGGAAGAAGGAAAGACCAGAACAATGCAATATAACAAAACTAATCACATCCAGTCATAAATAATTTTGGAGATCAGAAGAATTGCACATGTATCATTAACTATTAGGGATCTTAGTTTTGCATGGAATGACAAGATTAGTCAAGTAAGGGTATCTTAAAAGCATACAACACTGACCAGTTACACACTTGTCTGCATGCTAGTCCCTCCTCCTACCAAGGTAGGATGATACAAAAGAGAAATTCTACCTGTCTTTCAGGACGTACACATATGAAGAAATGTATCTTACACAGTTTAACATTGGGGTGATCAAGCAAACAAAATAAATTTCAAAGCGCAGCCTCTTTAATTACAGGTAACTAATACACCTTTTGGCTCACTGACAAAGCTGAAGACACAAACTCACTATTCACTAACTTTACTGGTAAGCATTTCCTGTGCCTGTTAACTGACAAACTCTTCTCAGACTGTCTTACAAACCAGTCATTACATCATCAGGTCATTCAAATGAAAACTTTCAAGGACAAAAAACAGCAGTCACAGACAGGATCTTGGAAGAAATGTAAAGGAAGGGAAAGCAGTAACAAAGTGTCATGATACTGACACAGTCTGTGTCTAGCGCCAGGGATGAGATGTCTATCTTAACCATGCCTTAAAACAATTTACAGTCAAGGATTCTCCCCTTTCATGTGAAGTATGACTGTCTGCAAATAAAAGTGCCTGTTTCTTAGGAATATAGCTAAACAATAAGATAGGATTATTCCCTTTTCTCTTCCAAATAATCTCCACATTTCTGATACCTTCCACACTGCTCGAGTGGTTCAGCTTTTCCTTGTTTATTCATTCCCGTAGCCCCAGCTTCAATCACCAAAAGGTTAGATGATTCTTCCAAGTCCTTGCCATAAGACTAATTAAAAAACAAAATCAAAAAAAATCAATAATAGATTAAAATAAGAAAGAAAAACCCAACCAAAAAAAAAAAAGAAAAAAAAAGAAAAAAAGAAACACTAAAACACACAAAAAAACATTAGCTCAAGTCATTAAAACCCTGAAGATTTTATTTTTCTATATAGTAAGAGTCCCTGGACACAACACGAAAAAAATACAGGGAACCTCCTGAAAGATAAATTTTCCACATTTGTATGGAAAAGCTAAACAATGCACCTCTATTTTTTTAATTAGAAATTACTTAACTGTTCCTACTTCAAATATTTAACAGATCAATATTTAAACAGATCACATCAGATCACTGTAAAGGTTTGTGAAGTCCTCTATTAAATACTTACTTCATCAAGGAATTCAATTTTCAAAGAGGACTCTGCACTTTCAGGAACAGTGTCGGGTACTTCTTTTCTAAAAACAGATGTCCAATATCTCTTCACCTCTTCAACTATGAAATATAATTAATTTGACGTGTTTAATCTTTTACTGTTCAAGATGCACTTATAGAAATGCAAACCTTTTATTTATTATAAAGTCCCATAAAATTCTCCTTTCATAACTGTTACTTTCTTTAAGCAGAAACTGCTTAAGTATGTAACTGTTCAGTAATCACAGGAAAAAAATAATCCAAATAAAAAGTATTTTACAGTTAGATTCAATAAACAGAAGACTGTTACACCTGTTAAGTCATCGACATCATCATCATCGTCACCTCCTTCTCTCCCTCCTCCAATCACAGCCTGATGTACGCTCAGTGTTTGCACAGGCCTTAAATCTTTAATGCAACTAAAAGAAATATCACCAATAGGAGCTCTAAAAAAGGAAAAGAAATCAATCTTAAAAAGTCAGTCATCTCTCATTTTTATTTTTTTTTATTTTTTTTTTTTTACATATAATACCACAGTCATTTAAAAAAAGAAATAAAACACCACATTAGTTACTGCATTAATTCTGAAATATTAAGTCAGCGAGTCTGGTTATAGCAATTACTTTATTAAAATAAAGCACCCTCTATACAGTCACTTAATTCTTGATCATATATCTAATATTTTTAAAGTTTCAATGGTATTTTTGTTAATGCGGTTAAGGATTTCTGACTTTCTATTAGTATGAGCAACTTCAACATTACCTTCTGTATTTCTTAAGTAAGAGTTTCTCCATGTAGCTCAGGCCATCCTTCTGGAATTCAATTTGGATAGGTTTCTTCATAACAGTAAGACTGGTCTGCACCTCACAAACTCCCACAGATTCTATTAGAATTGTTACAAAAAAAGTATACAGCCATTCAGATTTACAAACTTGACACATCAGTAGTCTATGCCTAGCTAAGTTTTTGCATCATTCCAAAATTTAAATGGCCAGCAGTATAATATTTAGACAACACAGCAGAGGCAGCCAATAAGAACTCATTTATCACAGCTTGTCACGTAACAGAAGATTACCACATCCCTAACTCCACAGATAAAAGTCCCACCATATAACGGGAAAGTAGAAATATAAAAAAAAATAAAAAACAGTATAATACTTTTTGTACAAAAATACAGAAAGAATGAGCACCATCCAGGAACTAGAGGAAATAGATCAGCTTGCACAAATCCAATCAGAAAAGAGGTTTTTTCCATATTTTTCCATGCATACTTCAACTGATTACATCTTTTCACTGGGACAAAGAAATATTAAGAGCTGTGGAAGGCAAGCAGAAAATGTACTTTGATACAACATACAAAATCCTGAGCTATGCACATTCCTTGTCTCAGTTAAAAGCCGTGAATTTATGCTTAAACATTACAGTTCGCCTAAAAGTCTCATGTAAGAAAAAAAGTCATGGAAAAGTTCGGGGACACAAGCTAAACAATCTGGCCATTGCCACACTTCATTACAGGAATTGGAATAAACACTAATCTGCATGCTATTTAAAAAAAAGAAAAGAAAAAAAAAAAAGAGGTTGTTGTTAATTTATAAAGAAACAGAGAGAAAACTTAAGAAGAAACATTTACTATTCTAACAGAACATCTACCCTCACAAAATCTGCTAACTCACCAAAATGGCTCCTAATGTTTTAAAATGCAATTAAAACAGAAAAAATACCTGATAGGACACGACTGGCACACAGTTGTTCTCTGTGATCATGATTACCTTTTCTCCATTGAAGCAAAGCTTCCTGAAAAGACTCTGCAGATTCTTCCTCATTAAATGTACCATTTAGTAATAATCCTTTGTTGTCATATTCAGTGCTTGTACGGGTTGATGCTGAGGACAGTTCCTGAATCAGTTCCACAACACAATTAATACAGCACTTCTTATGACTCTCCTCAGTTACATACAACAGCAACAATATTTTTAGTACCAGCTATGGAAATGCAGCACCCTGTTTTCTGGGCTTATGCTATCTACCCTAGTAATTAAGATAGATAGCTTAGTTTTCATGTGGTCTTGCTCACAATTAAATTGCAATGTTCTATCAAAACCAAAATAAGAAAACCAAAAAAGTCTGTATAAGCACGCACTAAAGAAACACCTAACTTAAATGCTTTTAGTAAGCAGAAAGCGGCAACCATAGATAACCCATATCCTGTGTACAGGATGGCTATTGTATCGACAGATGTGAATAAGGGTCAAAGGGCTGTGCAAGTCTGAGAGCCTGATCCCGTCCTTGGCAGCCTGTGGAAAAGCCTAAGGCCACTCTATCTAAGATGTCCTAAACAACAAAAAGATTTTTTCAACATTTTTCTCCCTGACCTGTACACACCTCCGCACTGCTCACTGATGTTAGCAGAGATGAAAACTTGTCTGATGTGACCTGATGCTTGCTATTTACTGTCTTTTGATCTTAATTTTCAATTCATTCAGATTTATTCCCTTTACAAAGTGATCAACAACTTCCAATTTTCCAACATGCATATTAGCTTCTGTCTGTTAATGAACCATTATTAAACCATTAATTTATTATAAACATACTCAAACATTCCACCAAACAGCATATAAAAAGCAGGCAGGTCACTACATTCAAAGACTGATGATGACATAAGCACATCATAATTTCAGTAATCAGTAGTGTGCAAATGTGTGAGCAAATATTCAATATTCCATTAGGTATTACACCTGACAGAATAGGTGAAGCATTTTATGCAGCACATACCATTTAAACAAATCTATGAGCTATGTACTTTATTAATGAAGTACTGCTTACTGAACCTTTTCAGCAGACAGAAACACATCTGTAGAGGTCAAAAAGAGGAAAATCTTTAAGAGACTAACTGGAATACCAGTTCATACACAAAAAAATAGTCCAGGGAAGTCCACACTACAAAGAACTAGATTAGTTTGACTGAAACTGGCTAGAGAAGGAGAATAAGAGTTTTATTGTTGGGACAGTACTGATTTGCAACTTTCATTAGAATGAAGACTATTACTGTGGAAATGTAACATGAGGGTTTTGATTACCACCCCCTGAGTTATTAACAAGTAAAAACAAAAACTATTTTATGTTCATCCTCTCCCTACACCCCCTCCCTATACACAGAGGAAGACCAGAAGGAAAGATCCTTTATCTACAAAATCCTCAAATATGGCACATACTCCTTCCACAAAAGCACAAAAGCAGTAAAGGTACGGGCAGAAAGTGTAACAGAACGAGTCCAAGTAGCCATTGCAAAACTAGAATGTGCTCATACCTCCTTCTTTCCAGCTGCTCTGCACTATAATCAACCCAGTGCCTTTGCAGCTGCTGTGATGGAGATCACAGAAACTTATACTCAAAGAGAAAGGGGAGTTTCTCTGTGAAATTGCCCTTCTTGGCTCATTCTGTTTCCTATGGCAAGTGCACTCAAAAGTACATAGCTAAAACTTGTGTTGATTTCTTTTTCACCACATGGAGAAATTAGTATTTGAAAGGCTTGCCCTACTGTGTTACCTGTATAAAGGGCATGAACATCTTCATTGAGATTTTGCTAAACTGCTTCAAAATACCTAAGCAAAAAACGCAAAACCGATTTTAGAAAATACTTGCAAAGCTTATTTTTTCTGGCCTCATGTTAAACTTCCCAGCAGTTTAACTTGGACACTAATTTTCTCCTACTTCAATGCCTAGCCAGCCTAAATTGCTTAGGCATCAAAAACATCTATTCCCAAAGCAGGAGTAAGGGAGGGGGCAGAGAAGAGTCCAAGGCAGAAGCAACCTGACCCACCAAGAAAGTGAGAAAGCACTTCTCTGGATTCTCACACTAGAGTTACTGCCTTGGAATTTTCAATTGCATATTTTCTCTAAAAAACAGCCTTTCCTCCTCACTGCAGATCAAGTGCACAACCTCACTTGGACTGCAATATCCTTTCCTCCCTTTGAAAAAAATGGAATTGCAGCTACTCTTTTCTTCTCCAAATGCAAAAGACACCTTTTGGAGCTGTCTGCTTCCTGTGCTCTTTTGGTAGTTCCCTTTATCAATAGAGGCAGTTTCTAATTAGTTTTAGGGTAGGACTGGAGAAAAGAGGGAAGACGACAAGGGGGGAGCAGAGAGAATCAAGACAACCAAAGTGGAATCCTCCTGATGCAGATGGAGTCATCACAGCACTCCATGATTCTCTATTTAAATCCTCATATTCTTCCACTGAATCACTGTATCACCTCTAATCCCCACAAATAAGCTTCCAACAATTTAATCCAGTTTGTTTACTGCCAAAAATGAGATGTGGTTTATCCCTTTTTTTTAAAAAAAAAAAAAAAAAAGAAAGAAAAAAAGAGAACATATTACACATGTCAAGATTTATCACTGTTATCTTACTGCTGCTGCCACCCAGTTTTCAATCTAGTCCAGGGAAAAGCTTTTATATCCACTGCATAACTCAGGATAGCACATCATCCCCAACAGATTATTTATCACTGGCTGTTCATTACTCATGGGATAGTGTATCCTTCTGTAACTGCCTTAAATTCTCACCTGAAGTTTTCTCACCAAATGCTGTAATCTTTCTACTAACATACTATAAGCAAGCATCATTTCTACAAGGACGTATTTATCAGACCAACAGCTTTAATAATTTACTGCATTACTAACAGGATTATATTTCTGGGAAGAAAGAATGAGATCATCAAATAAATTTTAGCAGGATAACAGATTGATGTATCCAGTATCTGCCTTCATGAAAATCTCATACAGTAGAACCAAAACAGTTACATTGATTTACATTCACTCAAGATTCTATCTACCTTTTATACATTTACGTTAGCTTGCATTCTCTCAATAAAGTAACTTTGATTATTTGCAATCATATGAATGAAATATGAATGCAAACATTTTTTCGTAAGAAGTTCTTGACATGGCTTCTTTTTCATTAGTCCAACTATAAACCAGGCATCATTAACACAAAAATGAAGGAAAATGAAAACAAGCAAATAACATGTACTTGAAAATGTATTTAAAAAAGTAAACCATGGAATTTAGCAAAATCAAATCTGGAATAACCTTGGAGAGAAAAATAGTGGTTTTGCCCAAAAGAGAAAATCCAAAATGCATTTACATTTTGGTCCAAAAAAAGAGTTACGACAACCCATTTATGAAATGCAATCAAACATTATGCATGAGAAATTTAATTTTGGTACAATTAAGTGTCACACAATAAATCTAGGAGGAAACTTTACTACCCTAATTATAAAATTATTAAATTTTTATTGTTCCAAAACAGATACGTAACAAAGTTGTATGTTAGAAGCTGAATATTACTATATTGCATAATAAAATCACCCACAAATGAGGTCTCCACTGTATTATATAATATTTTACTTTCATCATACTTTATTTCTTATGACAGGAATCCAAGTATGAAAGAATAAAGAATGCTGAAAGCGTTCATCTAACTGATCAGACACAACTGTAAGTAGGAATTCAAAGTTTCAAGTTTCCTTATAACTACATTTAAATTACAGGTAACAGATTGCTATTTATACTCACCAGGGTATATCACAGTCTGACTAATGAACAAACACCCCTGACCATTTTTAGTACTTAACAAAACTTCATTTTCTAAACTGTTTGACATCCGACAATCTGGAAAAGTCTCAAACATAGCAATAACAGTATTTCAAAGAGCCTGTGTAAAAAAAAAATCCTGGCCCAGCAATTTCTTACATATTTCCAACCACGTAACACTACCATTGGTTCAATTTAACTCACTTTTCTATGAGGTATACATGACCA